CCCCAAAACCCCAAAACCCCAAAATGCAAAATTCGAGTAAAATATATAAATAATTAATAAATAATAAAATGATGCAAACTCAGCTAGTTCCAAATGTTATCACCAACAACATAGCAGGAGGGTTGAATGGAATTGATACAACCAAACAATTATTTTAAGGTATTCATTAACCAGGGTAATATTGATCCTATATTACCTACCTTTAGATTCCAAGAAATGAGCTCCAACATAAGCACTTTACATGGAAACCTTGATGTAAATATTTCAAAGCTTTTAAAATTCTTCTTCAGACTCACACTCAACAAATGAATCCAGTCCCTACTCTATATATTAGAAATTTGAATGATAAAATCAAAACTGATGGTAATTTTTGATAATCATTGATTCAATTATCTTTAGAAATGAAAATCTCCCTCTTTCATTTGTTTTCTTAAGTTGGTGAAGTAATTGAGATTAACTTGAGAACTTCAAATCAGTCCAACAAATTGCGCGGCCAGGCATTCATCGTGTTTAGAGAACAGGATATGGCAGATAGAGGCCTGTAGGAGTTGAGAGGGTTCACACTATTCGGTAAACAAATGGTAATTACTTAACTTTTCACTAGATGCGGGAATAGGAAATACAATATGCGAAAAGCCAGAGTGATACTACCCTGAAGAATAAGGGTTAGTATGACGATAGCATTAGACTAAATAGGAGACAAAAGAGAAAAGCAAAGGATGGTAAAGCTTAGTCAACGAGTCACTTGATTAATTAACTATTTTTATAGATCTGAAGAGAATGGATAAGAGAGAAAAGTTATTGCTGACTGAACAATCATTGAAATAGCAATTGAATTTAAAGGAACAGATTTTAAAGCAATCAAATTCTTTATTGCTTGAAAATCTTCCTTAGAATTACAATCAACTATTACTGCAAGAACTGTTGAAGAATTATCCAGGTTTATAAGAATACTAACTTGATGCCCAAAAAGGCAGAGCAGTTGTGAATTTTCATACCTCTAATGATGCAAAAGTCGCTTTGTCAGGTATTCTAAGATCTACAATAAAAATTCTATAGGACTAAACAAATATTAGATTGATCATGAGGGAAGAGAACTCAAAGCTAGTTTTACAGCTTGAGTAGATTTTAAGAATCATTTAATTCATGTAACATGTTTTTTAGCCAAAATATATTCTATACATTACTTTATTTCGTGATCTAACTAAGTTGAACATTTTTATAGTATATTTTCAATCTTTCAGTAATTGAGTATTATTTCATAAGTCCTCTTTCCTTTAATATCACTCATTCATCTAGCCACTTTACCCTCTTTCCATTTTGCCACAATCCATCTCTGGATTGCCCGTTAATTGCCACAAATGTTCCTTAACCGTGTTGTTTTCCATTTAACCAATTCCCTTTATATTATCTTCCATCTGGCCAGTAAAATACTCCTCTGCCTTCCTTTTTATCCTCAACATAGTCTCCCTCATATTTTCTACCATCTGACCACGTGAAAACACCTTTGCCATGCATTTTATTTTATTTCCAAGTTCCAGTAAATGATCTTCCATCTGCCCAGCTGTATTTTCCATCTCCTTCTATATTATTGTCCCTAAATTATCCTTCATATATTGAACCATCTGACCATTTAAATTTCCCGATTCCATGCTTCTTTCCATGTATGTAATCTCCTTCATACATAGCTCCATCTGGCCATGATTCTTTACCTTTTCCATGCTGCTTATCTTCTCTCCAAAACCCTTCATATTACGCTCCATCCATGTGAGTATACCTTCCATAACCCTCAGCTTTATCATTTAGCCAATCACCTTCGTAGACATCCCCGTCAGCATGAATTAATCTTCCTTTACCATTGGCTTAATCAGTTACCCAATATCCCTCATAATATGAACCATCAGGCCAAATTTATTTACCTCTGCCTTCTCTTTTACTAGTTGTTGGGTTCCTATTGAAAATGTAAAACATTATTAAAATACCATTCTCCTATGTAAATCGCTCCATTTCGTAGTTTATATGGTGGCCTTTATTCCCTAGGCCCAAATATCCTATTATTCTTATTCTTTTCAAAGTCAAAAGGTCCTAAATTCTAGCTGATATTCTAAAAGATTATAAGATCAAATATAATTACGCTTATTAGAGGAAGTAGTCTAATTTAACTTTCGTTAATTTACTCTATTGCCAGATTTGGATCGCCTACCAGATGATCGTTTTTTAACTGTGCATACTATTTCCTAGCTTAGTATGCTCTGAAATTCTTTTGAATTGTGACAGCTTATTATTCTCTAACTTTTCTATCTGTGGTAATATTTTTAAATTCTTCTAAATCCTTCTGATCATCCTTGATGCATGTGCAAGAATTACCCATTTTAGCAAAGCTTTCCAAGATATATTAATTTTATTTTAATGAATTCGTCATTTTAAGTATGATTTAGAAGTTTGGGGTTTTGGGGTTTTGGGGTTTTGGGGTTTTGGGG